ATTGTTGTAAATTAAAATTAGAATTTTGATCAATGTAAATTAAAATTATTATTTTAATTAATTATTACATTTAAAATAAAATTTAAATTTGGAAAACAAAATATTGCAAAAAATAAAAATATATGTAATATATTTAACATTTTTCAAAAGTTGAGGGGGCAGTTTATCAATAGTTAGAATGAATTTCGTTAGTAAGATAATAGAATGTTTATCAAGTAAACTATTTAAAAACAAAATTAATAAATTATAAATCATTTAAAAAAAATTATTTTTAAACTAAATTAAAATACATCACATAATTAATAAATTATTTATTAAATTTACCCTTATTTTCTCCGACCAAAAGTTTTTTTAGATGAATCAAAATATGTATTATAATACAGAGTACAAGAGGTAATTCACCCATAGTCTCAAAAACACCTTACATGATAATAACAGTTAAGGCACTCTAAGCCAATTCAAAATAGGAGGGACTGAAAGCCTACTCAAAATTAACTTCTAGTAATTTTTTGGACATATAGACTAGGGGAGTTACACCAATGAAGTAAAGGAAAACAAAAAATTTTTAGTCTTCTCCCTTATCCATACAAAAATCCTCCTTTGAATTAAATCAAAAGCCTTACTCTCATCCCACTGTTGTGTGTTATGGATAATAGAGCTCCTCGTATACATACGGATCACGTGACCACCAAGAATACGAGGAACCAAACATCAGATTTTACCACCTTTTTTATCCCTAAGCTGTGAGGGGCAGGGGTAGAGAAATCCCCCACCAATTGTAGCATTTTCTCCGACCAAAAGTGATATAAAGTAGGCAAAAAAAAAAAAGCTTTTGCTTCCCTCCATCTCCCTAAAAGTAACATAAAGTAGGCAAAAACTAAGCTTTTGCCTCCCTCCATCTTCCCTCCCACTCCATTAAAATCAGCAATCCTAACACAACGAAGGAGGCATCTCTCCCTCCCTTCATCTCCCTCCCTTCCCCTCCAACTTCCCCAATCCAAACTAAGGGTTAGTTACACCTTATTGAGCTGAAAAAATCCAGGGTTTTTGATTTTTATAATGGGTTGTACAGCGTCGAAGCTGGCCAATGTGGACCCGGTGAGGCGGTGCAAGGAGCGGCGTCGCCTGATGGAGGAGGCGGTCTATGCATGTCACCACTTGGCGGCTGCCCACGCCAATTATTGCTGCTCCCTCCGGGTCACGGGCTCTGCCCTCTCCTCCTTCGCCGCTGGCGAACCCCTCTCCGTCTCTGACCAAACCCTGGCCGTCCTACTTCATTCCCCCAACTCACATCCATCTCATGTCCATCCTGTATCCCCGTCCCCTTCGCCGTCCCTCCACTCGTTGCCTCCTCCTCTCCATTCGGCTCCCGCTTCGTCGCACAAGTCCTTGAAAGAGATTGCGGATGCGATCAAAGAGAATTTCGACAAGGCTGCTGCTGCCGGAGATCAGGTCTCCAGGATGCTGGAGATCGGCCAAGCTCAGTTCGACCGGAGCTTCCGGCAATTGAAAAGTAAGTTGATAGATTAGGGTTTTGTTGCAGAATTTCCTCTAAAATTCAAAATTAGTTCAAATTGTTTGAACTTTATGAATTATCAATTAATCTGATTCTATCTTTGGGATTATAGAAACTGTCTATCATTCCAGCAGTGTCTTGAGTAACTTAAGCTCGAGGTGGACGTCGAAGCCGCAGTTGGCGTTGAAGTATGGACTGGACACAGCGGCTGTGGATGAAACACGCGGTTCGAAGAGCCTCTGCTCCACTCTGTACGAGCTCTTGGCTTGGGAGAACAAACGCTGCGGGGAAGTGATGGTATTAATCTAACTTCTATTTACTATTTTATTATATTATAAAAGTTATTAAAATTATCAATAAATTTTAAATAAATATTTAATAAATTTCTTTAAAAATTTTAATATATTTATTAAAAAAATTATTATTACACCCTCTAATTTCTCATATTTTTTTAGTACATACTTAATTTAATTATTAAAATATAATATAAATATAATTAATTTATAAATTTTTATATTAT